GTGGCAAAGCTGTTTGTATAGCTAACAAAAGTAAAAGCAGAGACAGTTCGAAGGAGCTTGGCGCTATTGGCGCTGCTGTTATGAGGGGTGACACGCTGCTGCCAGCCGAAAGGCGACCAGAAATAATGTACGCATTAATTCCTCATTTAAATTCAACGGCGCGTACGAAGCATTAGTTGCGTCAAGCTACACACCTCCCGCCTCCCCATCCTCCCCACCTCTCACCCACACGTCATCCAGCAACCCTCGAGTATCTGCTGCTGCTTTTGTTGTGCGTAGCATACTTTTTGGCACTGCTACTGCACGACACTTTTTCCCATTGAAGTGCTTCTCGATTGCTTAAAAGAGCGAATTCCGTTCCTGGGCGAAAGTGATCAACGTCGTTTTTTTCATTTCTCAGTTTCTCGCAGCTGTTTCCTTGTTTGAAACTACTTATGTGCGAGGTTGTTGCCGCTGTTGCTGCTTGAGCAGTCGGCAACTTTTTAAATTAGCATAATGCCTGAAATTATGCAACGCCTTTTGTCCCAGACACTTAAGTTGGTTTCCAGTTGTTTCTACTGCTGCTGCTGATGTTGTGCCACTTTAAGTGCACTTTGCGCCCCAAAAACAAACAACAGTTGCAGCAGCAAGCCCAACAACAATAATAGCGCGACATCAGCAGGGGGCGTTAGCGTTAGCTAGGTCCAGACGAGAGCCCAGAACTAAATCAACGCATTACACTTTGTAATGTGGCTTCCAATGGGTACAGGGACAGGGGGTGGTGTATGAGTGTATATATGCGCTTCTGCACAAAGCTCTGATAATGCCAATAATTCAATTATCCGTGTTGCTTTCTCTTGCTATGCTGCTCTAGCTGTTAGTCGCCTGTCGTTTGTCTTTGGCTTATTGTTATTGCCAAACCGACTGACTTGCCGATATTGTTTTTGCAACTCCTGATGCTGCACTTGTATTGAGCAGTTAATAACAGTCAGATAACAAGTAGAAGCCACACAGTAAGACGTCAATGAAAATAATTGTTGTAATAATCCAAAGAGGCACAAAATTTATCAATTGCTGTGATAGAGTCTGATTTTCTTACTTTGGCAATAACAAATAATAGAAAATAAACAAACTTTGCCAAGCTCAATATCTTTATCTTTAATTTTATTTACAAATTATTCAACTATTTTGTTGTTACTCATTTGTAAAAGCATCAGATTAGTGAGTTACTGACTGGAAAGTCAGTTGGAAATGTCTGTAAATCTATCTCAATTTTGTATGTCTCTCTCTCCCACTCGCATTGCTCGCCTCCTCTTGGTCTGCTTAAAAGCTTCCTAAATGGTTAAGCTTAAAGTTCCTGGTCACGATGACATTGACTGTGGGTATAATTTCATTACGTTTCGTTCATTAAAACTTTCAAAATGGCAGCCCCCAAAAGTGGCGCAAAAAATTAAAAAGAATAAAATGAAATGCTGAACACATCCCAGGGGCTTATGAGGCGAAACTCTGTGGAATTATGGCTCATTAAATGACATAATGCAGAGGAACAGAACATACATACAAACTGAAAATTTGGTACATTGTGTGGTTGTGCAGCATGCTTTCCAGCAAGTAAGCAGCTGGTTCTCGGGGTAGCAAAAGAAACCGCAGTTGATGCCGCCGCTAGCTGGCGTCTGCTAATATCTTTCTAATACACATACACGCACAGAATATACATAAGCACAATCCCAGAGCTCAAAAAAAAAACAAGACAGCAGGGAGCCTAAGACATGTGCCGCATAATAGCCTTAACAAGATTTTTTGGCATAGTCGTCGACTTTGACGTGCCTCTTAACTGCCGCAGCGTCTTTTTCAATTACACACATAATTAAATATGTTCCGTCTGTCTCTCTATCTCTTACTCACTATGTGTGGGCGTTGAATCCCGGGGGGCGTGTGACAGCCTAGGTAAACATTATATGTATACTGTGTGCGTATGCGTGTGCGACAGCAAATACTTTAAATCTGTCCCAATTGTGCAATAGACTCAGCCTTAGCTCATATCCCATTTTGTAGATTTTAATAAACATGCTGATAATTAAATTAAATTGTATGCTTTTATTTAACATCAGCATTGAAAACATTTGGGCGCACATATTTGCCTCCTTCTCTTTTCCTTCTCATGTCTGTTTTCAAACTGTATTTGCTGTGGGCCAAATTCAATTTAATTTCAATGGCAACGCTTTAAGTCTAAAGAAAAGCTGGAGAGTTTCAATTTGTGCAAACATTTCGTGTACTCAGTTTACTTCAATTTATTTGCTTAGTAGCATTGTGCTGTTAAATATTAATTACTTTGGAGAATTGTATCGGCTAATAGAAAAACTTTTTTTAACGAATATTTGAACCACTTGAAGTCCGCGTTGAATTATGCTGAGTACATTAAAATTAAAGCCATAACAGAATATATTTTTATTCATTTGGTGGGAACATAAGAATAAAATGTTTACGTTTAAATATTCTTAACTGGTAGAAATCGCAAAAATAAGTAGAACTAAGCCAAATAAATACTTAAAAAAAATGTTACACAATGTCTTACATAAGGTGCGAAACAGTCAGTGGCTTATATAATCCGAAATAAAAACCGCAATATAAGAACGAAGACGACATACAGAGAGAAAAAGAATGGTTACAGAAAAATAACGCTAAAATGAACGCATAGGAAATAACGATTTTTTTATGAATCCAACTTGCGCCATAGATTAAGCCATTTGGCACTGACATATCCTTTGTTCAGATACGCCCTTGTTGTGCACTTGGCCCATAAATTGCCAGCAAAATGTGTGCAAAGTTCAGCAGCAAAGATACAACCCATCAACGCCGCAAATAAATTCTTATTAAATACAAATGAGCATCGCAAAAGTTCTTTTGCCCAGACTAAAAGTTTTTTGGGCTCCCACATCTGTAAGATGGTAGATTGACACCAGCTTTCGAATCTTATCTTGCGGATATAAAATTCCATCTCTTCCAGAGCTGTATAACTTTTTCTATCTATAATTATGTATGTTGTTTTTAAGTTAAAGTTATCGTAGATCTATTTTTGCTCTTGGTTTCTTGTTTCTCCCGCTTGCTTAAATATTGATAAATATTGTATTTTATAAGTACAATAATAATTTGTGTCTTGCGCCAGCAAAAAAAAAAAAAATTAACAAATTATCTGAAGCACTTCAAGCAGATTTATACCTAAAAACATTTCGTCTACCGCAAAGTATGCAAACATTGGACAACTTTTAGGACTGGGTCGACATTTTTGCTAAATAAAACTTAAGTTTTATTAAATTATTTGCCAATCCCTTACAACACTACGGAAGTTGCCGTTTTTGGAACTAATTTACTTAAAATATTACCAAGTCAGTTTCAGTACTTCTACAGGCAGACGCCTGTTATATCAATTGGCATGTGCCCGAACTGTGCAACCACTAAACATCAATCATTGGCCCAAGGTACTCCTCCATTTACTCATATGTGACTCGCCTGCAGCTATTCGCGTTTGGCTTCTGTTTCTCTTTGGCTAGCCGCCATGAGCAATTTGAAAGTCGCGTCCTAATCTTTGTGCTGCTCTTCGTTGGCCAGGTGATTTGTTTGCAGCCCTATTGGTGGCAGAGCGCATAATTCAAAATGCCATTTCTGATAGCATCCTGCAGCCTCAGTCTCAGCTCAGCTCAGCTCAGCTGGCATTTGCATTTGTTTTGAGTGTGTCTAGCGTGTTTTGTGTTTTGTGTATGTTTTGTCGGGAGTGTTTAAACAATATATCAAATTGCGAACAGCGGGCATGCATGCTACATTTTATTTAGATTTTTGCACAAAGATAGAGCTGCATTGTCTGACTGGACTGGAGTGTTGTTGCTGGCCAGGAAATGGAAACTAAGTGCAGCGGCCGCACATTAATCATGGACTGATTCTCCGCCTCGTCCCCACCCCCTGAAAAAACGTGTTGAGACGCCAACGCTGAAGTACTGATTCATAAACCATTTATAGTTTTCTGTTGTTGTTGCTCTGTTCGTAAATCGCACACACGCAACTTGCTTGGCGACTTGAAAGGGTTAAGAAATTTATGTGTTGCAATTATTTTCTTGAAATAACACTTTAAGTGATTTACCGAGCATGTAAGGGATCGGAATGGAAAGTAAAATAGCGAACCTTAGCAAATGTGGAATGCCCAGCTCCAACTACCCTATGTGTCGATCCTGTGGCTATGCTATTTATTCCAGGTCATTTGCTTTAACGCTATTGTATTGCACTTAATAAGATTTGCTAAAAGGAAAAGGGTTTCCCTTTTTGGGAAAAAATAACAAACCATATTGTTGGTCACCTTTCAGTGGTTGTCTGATTCGCAGACATAAACTGATCCAGGGATGGGATAACGTAACCCAATTTTCATGCCGTTTTTGAGACATTTAAATGACAGATTGCCCTTGAAATCGACGCGACGAATTGATACATATATTTTGTTACTAGCCTGCTAACGGCTCGTTTGTCAAGGAGTGCACCCATTGGAGATTACAACAAAGTGCAGTCTTGAAGTAATCTAAGTGCTTGTATTAAAGTGTGTGCATCATTAAGCAACATATCATTTGTTAGTGCGTTTGTGTAAACGTTATTTTTGCTGAACATGTAACTAAAAGTATGCAATGTTTATAAATCTTCTGTAGGAATTCGCACATATAATTGCGTCAGAACATTAAGCATAATTCACAATTAATGGGTTTTTGCTTTGCGCCAGCAGCCAGTACAGAGAACACGAAAAACAACACCCATAAAGGTTCTTAAAAATTCTTGAGCTACATTGAGAATTCTTCAATGTAATTTTAAAAGGCCAAATTTAGTGAATTTTGCGCATCCTGAATAGCTTCTTCTTCATTTTTGGCGAACTTGACTCCATTAAAGACTTACAATTCATTATATACTTGCTATAAGAAGAAATATTTGTTGCTATTCGGTGTCAGGTTACTTATATTTTTGGTTTTCTTTTTTCTATCTTGCAGACCTGCTATGAACTGGAGCGCTATTTGCGCGACGAGCCTAAGCTGCAGAGCTATAAAAAGATGCACACTGATCTGGATACAGCCTGGGACATATTTTCAACGCCCGCACGGCTACTGGAGGAACTGAAAATAAAAGAGAGTCTGGATACGATATCGACGACCTCGTCGGTGTCGTCAAACTGCTCAGGCATATCGTGGGACAGCAATGGTTCACAGGCGCTTAGCTGTGCAGTGTTAGTAAAGCAGGAGCGCATCGACGAGGATGACGAGGAAGCAACACATAGACTATCTTGTAATGAGAAATTGGACGTGCTATTTGCAGCGCCGCCCTCAGCCATATCGCCCAATCCAAGTATCAGCAGCGCCGGAAATATGACGCCTACCAGCAATAGCAATAGCAATTGCTCAAGCAGCAATAGTAGCGTTAACATAAGCAGCAGCAGCAGCAGCAGTAACTGCAATACTATCACTCTGAGCTCAAGTAGCAGTACTGCGCCGGGTATTAAAGTGCGGGTGGTACAGGCCAAGACTCAGCGGCATTATCATTTAGGTCAGGGTCATGTGCATGACTTTGTGCTTCCCCCGTTAACACCGCCCTCATCACCTGAGTCTAACCTTCGCAGCCATAACTATGCACAGCCGCCACATCAGCAACTCCAGCAACTCCGGCCGCAGCAGATCGATGCCAGTGAGCTGGCGGCGATCCTTAAGCAGCAGCAACAACGCCAGCAGCAGCAGCAGACTTCAGCAGCAGCAGCAAGTTCCACACCCGCGTCCGCCGTTCTGCATTTCAGCAGCCAAACGCTCGGCACCAAAAATTCCTCATTGACGCAAGCCACAACGTTGCAGCTGCAACAGCAACAGCAGCAGTTGGCAGTGCAACATTTAAGCATATCGCCTCAGGGGCTAAGCAAAACTAGCAGTAGCAACAGCAACTCGGCAAGCAGCAACCACAATAACATTAGCAACAGCAACAGTAACAGCAGCACAGATCAGTCCTCGAGTAACCACCATAACAACATTCCGCGCAGTACAATCGTGCGACTGACCACAGCCAATGGAACACCTGGAGCCGCTGGCATAAGCCTAGCACGTGTCATACAAATGCAAAACAATGGCAATGCTAATGTTGCTGCCGTGCTCAGCGCCGCCGCCGCCAACAATGCTAACAGTAACAACAACAGCAGCACCAATCCTGGTACAACAACATCCATGCAGCAGCAGCAATCGGCTTCACAACATCAGCAGCAGCAGACACCACAAATAGTTGCCGTGGTTACGTCGCTTCCTGAAAAATCAACAACTGGTGCGTATTGATGGCCATAGCTTCTATCTTAATTAAGTCATCGATGGGTAATCAACTTCATTCCACAGCTTCCACCAAAAATCATCACCCGCGCCAGCATCATAGCGATCACAGTCCGGATGCCAAACGACGCATACACAAGTGCCAATTTCTGGGCTGCAAAAAGGTCTACACGAAGAGTTCACATCTGAAGGCACACCAAAGAACCCATACAGGTAAGAAGGCATAATGTACTACTCACCCCACAAACTTTACCCAATACGGAGGACTTTCTGTCATTTTTGGGATTCGTCACAGTAGTAAACGCAATTTCTGAATATTACACAAAAGTCAATGATAACATTATAAAGTCGACTGCAGGATTAATACCGCGCCAACACTTTCCTGCTTTCCTGGCCGAAAAAAGTAAACTCAGCTCGTATTGCTCTCCATTTATAAATCAGGCTCCTGCGACAACAACGCAACAGCGTCGGTGACCTGGACACGAAAGCACAGGACAGGACACAAGTGACACGTTGCATTGTTTTGCTGCCATTGTCCGAACAGCCATGACCGTTTCCAAAAAAAAAAAAGAAAAAGCACAGTCTAGTGCAGCGGGCGGGAAACCAAAAACATTCTCGGATGACAGTAGACGAGGCTTGAATTTCAATAAAAATCGCATAATTCAAAAATGAATTATTGGTTACACGCACACAGATTAAGCCTAGCGATGAAATGTAATTTTATTGCCGCCACAGTCAGCATCAGAGATTTAAGCACCAGAGGAAGAGAAACATGTCGAATCTATTGATTTCCGCCATGGCAACTTTCGCACACATACATACCCATATGCATTGTTGTGTGTGTGTGCCTGTATTTATGCGTTACAGAAGAGTTTTGGCAGCATGCACTTAACCCAGAAAATATTAAATCAAAATGAAGTTTAGATTTATCACATGGTGCATGTGTATATACTATGTAATGTGAACACGTTATATTTTGATAATATATTGTTAAATGCTAAATTATTTAGTCGAACTTATAAGCTTTGCGGCAGCAAATTAAGTTTATTAATTAAATTTTTGACATAAGCCCATGCCGACACTATTCATAGCTGGGCAATTCATAAAAATCCTATTGATATTAATATCTTATTGAACGCTATTAAAGCGTACAGTTCGAAGCGTCAGAATTGAATGTTTTGGAATTAGTATTGCTTCCTTTTATACTGTGTAGCGCTGAATGAAACAGACGAAAGGACAATCACCGGCCCCTTGCTACACGAATTCAGAACAAAAAACTCAGTTGACTAAACTTATAATATAATAACAACCCGTTTTTTTAGAAAGTCGGATGTTTTATTTGTTTTGACTAATTTCCTTCCGTTATTTAATTCCTTCGTCTCTATCGAAAAATATTTATTTGTGTTGCATTGAGTTGCTACATCAAAGTTTTCTGCACAAAGTTTAAAGTGTGGGGTTCTTAACTAATAGTCATGCACAATAAGTTGTTGATAGAAAATGTATAATTAATTAAGCTTTTTTTAAGATACACGAATAAAGGTGTTTTCAGGCGATTAAAGATTGAAACATTTGATTGCCAAACAACCAGACTCGGCGTTTTTACAAAATGTACATTTTTGTTCCTGTTCAGCTGTAAAAGTACGCAAAGAATAATGTAATTATTTTAAGGTCACTATAGTGACTAGGTACAAAGCAAAATTAAAGAAACATCTTAATTAATTACATTTTTGCACAACTTTGGGCACAATTTACAGAAGAGCTGATGCTTTAATATTGCCGCATTAGACGAAACGCAACGCAAAATAATTGATCATCAGCTGTCATTTCAATATCCAAAGGGGAAGGGGAAGGGGAAGGTTTAGGGGAAGGCCACAAGTCGGCTGGGTACACATAAATTGAATTTCGGGCTTTCGACCTTGATTTGGACCCAGAGTCTCTTGTTGTCTCCGATTTGATCAGATATTAAATTAATTAGAAAACCAATGGAGTGGTCTAAATAAAAAACGTGCGAATATTTAACAATTGATAATCAATTACAATGCTCCGCATAAAAGTTGAAAATAAATGTGCGCAGTGCGCAAAAGATTTCAATTAGTTAAACGCTGTGGCTATTAAAACAACAGACTTGCGGGAACCCACCCTGAGGTTTGAAATAGCTGGTGGGCTGGTGGGAGAAAGGCGGCGCCGTTAAGAAAAGATTACTAGTGCAATCAAGCGGATAGACGCAACCAGACCATAAAAATTGTGTTGAGTGCAAAAGCCGAGAAGGCGCACAGCACAGTGCAGCGCAGCGCATAAAAGAAAAACTAAAGAATGGCGTGCAGTGAAAGGAATGAAGCTGAGACTTCTACCCCGTACGTTGCATGTCTCGCCGGGATATTCTTTCTATTGGCTGCTGACATTAAAAACCAACGCCAGCAAAATTTATAAAATATTAACTGGCTCCCGGCTCTGCGTTAAGCGGCAGCTGAACCTGCTTCTGCTGCTGGCTGCAATTGCAATACCCCTCCCTTAAACAATTTAGATGTGCGCTACTGAAACTGAATCTAAAAATATGGGAAGAAAGGAGTCTGTGTGCATACACATGCATATAGAGACAAATAGCTAAGGTTAAGTTTTAACTACGTTCGCTATTATAAATTACCAATGAGGCGAAAGGAAATAAAAAAAAGCTCCTTTAAACGCTAAATTATTTAATTTTTTAAAATCTTATAAACAATGACTATAGTCATTTGTTCGTCGCACGGCTGATGAACAAACAAACTCCTAGCTGACGTAATCGTTTTATACTGGATTTCTTGATATGCAAACTTATTAATCAATTCATAGAAACAACCCCCGCTGTCATATTTTCATATGTCAGCATCGTCGCGGTGAAAACTTATTAAAAACTCTTAATAGTGGCAGCCCATCAACATATGTAACAACGAAGCTGATTAATCTTATGGCATGTGCAGCTTATAATCATACTTGCTTTTGCGGCGGAATAACAGGCTGTCTGTTTTATTTTTGGTAACGATTAAGTTTCGTTAGCTTATAGCCAGATAACACGAGCAGTTTTGTGTCAGAGACTGTATCTGTGTGTGGGTTTTATCGTTAGTCATGGCGCTGTGTGTGCCCCGCTCAAATGCAGTTTAATACGAGACTCTAGGGTCCTGTCCGTATTGTACGCCCAGTGCTTTGTGCACTTGACGCTGATTTACGCCGGCTAAAGCCAAAAAGAGACCAATAAAAAAAAATGCCAAAAGTCAATGCCAAAGCATTTCATACACACAGTCACACTCCTTGTGGGGGTATAAGTGTTTTTCGGGCACCCTTTTTATTTATAGCCGTTACGTTACTTCGATGTCTCGCTCACAGTTCTGACAACATGCCAAAGTGCAAGTGGCAGGACGACACCCACAAACAAGGAGTGAAATGTCCCATGTTGCACCGTCGCGACGCATCGCTGGACTTCAGCAATCGCGGTAGAGAGTAAACAAATGGAAATTAAGATAGCACTGTTTGCTGGCCGGTGGGTCGTGAGTCGGTGAGTCGTTTGTTTCGTCAGGCAAGCAAGTTGGCCGCAAGTGCATAATGTGAAATTGAGCACGGAAATATCACACATTTCCGCATGCATTAAGTTTTAAGCTGTATATTTTTGTATATACATATATATACATATATACATATATATATGTATATACATGTTAAGCTGCTGTGGTGTGCGTTACAAAGTTTTCCACTCAGCTTTATGTATTTTTCTTGGCTGTCGTCTACTTTGCCGGTTATCTGGCTCCATTTTCCACTGCTGTTTTCTGCAGCGGCAACGACGAAGGCAACGCCGGCAATTTCCTGCCTTTGCTGCTGTTTGTCTTTTAAACTCAAATAATTTTGCCATTTTTTCTGGCACAACTTTGTACTGTCCTGTGTTCGACTCTGTGTGCATTTTTAGGTTTTATACTTTTGTGTGAAATTACAACTTCTGCATTTCCTTTTCCTTTTTGCCTGCATGCCACTATTGAGCTTCTGTAGCTGGCACAAGCGCTCTCTCTGGTTGGCTTTCGGCGCATTGGCTACTGTTTGAGGCTTTTGGCACGCATGAAAACTGTTGGCAAACCGATGCGCGATTTGGCAAACAGTTTTACTGAATTCGATCTCTACGTAAATTGCGAATCCCGACATTTGGCTTTTTTAAACTCCATTGTTTTTTTTTTTTTTAATTTGTTTTTAAATGTCTTTTGATTGCATTTTTTAATACTTTATAAGTTTTTGCACAGTATTAAGTGTACAGTAGTACAGTTGAGAAAATAAATTATGTGATTTTTCAATAAGACTTAATTTCAGAGCAATCGGAATATTATTTTATTAAATATTGTTACTCCGACTATATAATTCAACAATTTAATTATTAAAATTTCAAATTGACGGACTTGAATATAAGCCCCTGCAACAGTGCGAACCTAGCCGGTCTGATAAAGTAAAACTTTTTTCATTTTGCTACCGGTAAATAAAAAAATAATGGCACACTCTCCCTCCCATGTACCTTTTATTCACCAGCTCTTTCGTTTCGTCCCTTGGTACGCAAAAATGAAAAAACTTACACTGCATACAATATTAAATGCATTTTATCAGAGAGCAACTTATTTGATAAGCAGATACTTGCGATTTTACTATGCATTTTCATTAAATCTTTTCTACAAATTTCTGTCATTGCAGGTGAGAAGCCATACAAATGCTCTTGGGATGGCTGCGAATGGCGTTTCGCTAGGAGCGACGAGCTAACGCGTCACTATCGCAAACACACTGGAGCCAAGCCCTTTAAGTGCCGCAGTTGCGATCGCTGCTTCTCACGCTCTGATCACCTGGCACTCCACATGAAGCGCCATATGTGAGGTGAAATCTAAATGGAAGTGCAACTGTGTGTGCCATCACAAGCTGCTATAGCGCTTATTAATCAAAACTCACATAACAGCACAAGCAACTAAAAATGATTTAAGAACTTCAAATTCGATATAAATTTGTATGTCCGTTGCTGTTAGTGCTTTTATCGTCTTATTCCATTTCATTATCGTTTCGCTTCCATATCTTTTTGGTTTGATTTCATTTTATCGTTTAAGCATTTAACAATATAACTTCCATATGCATTTAAACTGTTGACATAAAATATTTACCAAAGCAAAATAATTTTTTTCAGTAAAGCATCAAGAAAAAAAAAACAACAAGAAAATAGCAGTCATAAATGAACTTATAAAGCACAATGAAAATATGAAAAGTGTATGAAATATATATAAATATATATATATATATATATATATTTTTGTTTTGTTTGTAGCGAAAACAACAAATATTGTAAACACTGCCAAAACAAAAATACGAAAAATTTAATAATTATAAAAATACTACAAAATGTTAACATACATACATACATACATATACAAAGATATAACGTTAAGAATATTCATCGTACTGGCGTAGGTACAACAACAAAATACAACAAACACAAGTGCAAAATATGTTTTAAACAATAAATCAAATGCTTATATTTTCTTACATTAATTTAAATATATTTTAAATTTGTAATATAACTGTTGTAAAGGTTGATTATGTGTAGTATGTATGTCGAGCAAATCGAAATGCCTAATAAATACAATTTTTTTGGCGCTACAAATTGATATTTTCAAAAGAAGTTTTGTTAATTTAGTTGTATTTAAACCGCACACTTTTGTTTTGCGATGAAAAGTATTACGAAGAATTTTTTTATTTGAGAAAATCTAAACGCTAATTTTTTGATTTGAGACAATATTATATTTTTGACCATTTGTTTTTTTTTACAAATTCTTCTTAATGTGCCTCATTAATTTTAAATAATAATATAAATAATTAATTTAAAACTATTTTTTATTTTACAAATTTAGATGTATTCCAAAAACACCATTTTGCTTAATTTCAGCAGGTCACAATTAACAAAGCTTAAAGTATTTACAAAAGTTCCAAGAAATAACTTCTGAAAATGCAGCGAAATGACTTCTGGAAAAAATGTAGAATTGATTTTTACTTTCCACACTGTGTGCTAATGTTTTTGTTAGTTTTTATGTGCTGCCCATAATATAATGAACCAATTATTTCGTTTATTATTTGATTATTTTTAAATACTTGTAACAAAATAAATATTATGAAAAAAAGATCAAAACGTTTTGTCATATACTTTTTATTAATATTTGATTATTATTCTTATTTTCCTTATTTATTTGCACGACAAAACAACACGGTATCAAGGTATACAACATGATCGAGCATATATGTATATTATACATTCGGCATTATGATTTGTGTGAAGAGATATTCTGTGATCCAGAGAACAAGAAATAGCTATGGAAAACAAACGAAACATGAACACGCATACAGAGACAAACACAAACGAATGTCATAAGTCACCTACAATTACATATGTTGTGTTGCCGTCAGTCAGGCGTGCTAGAGTTTGTAATAGAACTCAATCATAAGGTATACATATATTTACTTATAAATATGCCTTTCAAAGTTGTCTCCTGATTTCTAACATAATTCTCAATGATTGTGAAGTGAGATGAATCACTTTTTTAAAGGTTTGTGTGTGGCTTGTGCTATGTGTCATCTCAATGTTAAGAATTAATTATAGTCTCATATATGGTTAAGAAGTTACAAACTAAAAGTTCCCTTTAAGATCATATAATTAATAAAAACGTACAATTATACTGGCTTTGTATTTCCGGTATCTTTTTCGGCTTCCATGCGAGAAAAAAAAACCCAAGAAAATGCACTGAAAATGGTTATGATGTTGATAACACAACTATAAATATTATTAAAACCCAACAAAACAACAATGTGTACGATGTGTCAAAAAACTTCAATCAGTTTAGTGAAACTTTTGAGAGAAATTAAAAACCAACCCCAAATGGAATATTTTGTATAGAAAATCCTTATAGATAAAAACTAAATCCAACAACTACCATTTAGATTATAATGCATGGGGGCCTAAATGTGAATAATATATAAGTAATTATGTATGTATTTTACAATCCAAAATTCAAATCGTAAACGAAACTTGTATTTTAAAAACAAACTAAACTTTAATATATAATTCAGTAAGCATTAAAACACAATAAAAGACTGGTCAACGAGGTGTTCCGCGTTTATGCAACAATTGCAACAAAAGTAAACAAAATTAAAAAATACTTAGTAAAAGGGAATAAAACTCAAAACAAATCCAAATTAAAACATTTATTCAAAAACTCCTTAGCGTATTGCTAAGCCCATTAAATATTCTAGCAAACGCATATTTGAACTAGTTAAGATTGATCCATTCGACGTTCGACGAGTTGAGTATGCGTGCTTGTAAATCTTATTTTTGACTGCAAATACAGTCCACTGACCCATTTTGCAAAGGCTTATAAATATGTATTAATATATTGTTTAATACTAACCATACGTAAAGCTAACCGTAATGTTAATAAGTACGAATTTTAAGAAACGCTGAATGTGAGTCTAGAGAGTACTAACAACAAGAACAAAAATAATATTAATAATAAAACCAACACACACACATACTGATTATGTACACATATATTACTGTCTAAATTTAACAGTTGAACAGTTTAATTATATACAAAAAGCACAAAATTCAAAACAAAAAGGAAGATCACAGAGTAATTTCCTACACATTTTCTATAGATTTACAGCTTAGCAATGATATTGAGTAGAAAGTTTGGTGAATATTAAAAGAAAAAAAAAATACAAATAATTTTTTATATTTTTGTTTGCATAGTGCTTGGCAAATTTTTAAACTATGATTTAGACAAAACCAACATTAATACTTAGTTAATATGAAGAACTAAAAAGCGATTTGTAACGTGCATGGCGGTAAATATACATATATTGCTATATATATTGCTATACCATATTTAATTAAAATGTAAACGTCTTATATACCAAAATATAAGCGTATCAATTTAAGCATTGTGTGTATAGTTTAGTGAAATGAAATGAAATAGTTTAATGTTAAATAAACTCCAATGGAAAATCAAAATAACCATTATAAACACAATAAATGTATTTATATGTAAAACAGTGTATGGCAAAGCACATATTTAAATGTTGTGTATGTATTAGGAAATAAGAATTAAAAACTGACGAATTGGAGAAGCATGCGAAGCATCTATATTAAGACTAGGCATTTTGTATTAAACGTCTAAGTTGATAGATACAGGCTGGATAAATCATCGAAAAACAGTCTTTGCTTGCGCATCATAAGCGTATGTTTGGTCAGCAGCAAATGGTGATTTATATAGATTTTTATAAAGATCTTAATTTAGTTTTTTTTTGTGAAATGTGAGTTAGCCTCTGCATATACACACAAAATTTAAATTAAATTAAATTGTATAATTAAGGCGCGTAATTGATATCATAATTCAAAAGTTTCAGCACAGGTAAACTAAAAATACATTTTAAATAAATATGCATGTAAATAAGTAATGTGGCATCAGGAACAATGCTATCACATTAAAAAATTAACTACTTGACCGCTTGTGTAAAAAAATTAAAACAAAACAGAAAAAATCGTTAAAAGACGAATCCTTAGCTAATAGCAAATAGCAAAAATCTAATTGTCAGTGTTTATTATTATTGATGTGCATTTGATGTTTGCGTATTTTTACGCTTATTCTTAACGCAAACCCCTTTTTTGCCATCAGTGCTACTGCTACGTGAGTTGAGTTTAAAGTTACTAGTAAATGGTGACAAACGTAATTGCTTTAATTTATTTATTGTATAATAAACATTTGGGTAAAAAATTAAATGTTTAAATAATTTAACTGCAATTTTTAGAGAATTTAATTCAATTAGCATATTTTTGCCGTCATATTGTATATTCTATGAAAAATATAACAATTATTATTGATCAATATTATTATTATTATGGCTTGTTTGTTGCGGCTTTTTTGTCAATCTTTACATAATAATTTTATATGAAAAAGTGTAAGAAATATTTAGAAAATAATAAGGAGCATAATTAAGGCAAAATGCATAAAAATATAAACATGGCAAATTGATTAGGTAAAGCCCCATAGAAAAAAAAAAACAGAATCTTACATTTAGTATTAGTTTATTATATAAAAACAGCAGCAAAGAAGAACAACAAACCAAAAGACGAGCCCGACAGCAAAATTAGAAACGTTATTTTATTCTTGTATAAGTATAAACTGAAGGCATTTTCAACGTATGAAAACTATATTGTACGTAACTTGATATTTTGATGAGAATTTCTGTGAAAAAATATAGAAAAATATAAAATGGACTAAAATTGATATTTATTTATGGGCAAAATTAAGTGGAAATAACGAGTCTGGGCTGACGCATGTCGATGTTAACACAAACAAGAAAAACAAATAAATTGTTGATGCATTTAAATAATGTTGATTTTGTCTGGGTAATGAGAAATAGCGATAGAGAAAGGTGCATATGTTTGACTTTTGTGATTGCAGGCGGCGCTGAACAAACAGTTCACATCATTAGCCCCGAAGGAATGGCTTACAACAACAACAGCAACAATAAGGATAACAATGACGGTAACATTGCAATTCATTGCAATTTCGACCACCCGCATATGCACGTGCATAAATTTAAATTATACTTTATAACACGCATGTAAATTTTCATTAACTCTGTAGTCATAATTAAAAATTGCCAGCTGTTGAGACCCTCCAACTTTATTTTCAGCCAGAGAAAGCAACCGCTGTAATTTAGGCAGTCCACTGCACTACTGCAATTATCAGACAGCAATTACACAGCAGATATTACGAACAATTTATATATATGCAATTCGTAAGCCCATAATGGTGCGGAAGTTGGTATAAATTTAAGAGCGGCTGAAAATAAGAGCACGCGAAAAAGAAAGGTAGATAGCTAATAAGTAGTATGGGCAGATATATCTGCTTATTAATATACTAACATACAATCAAAATTTAATTAATGCAATTTGCATAGTAAGGCAAATTTAAAAATAGATTTCCGATTAATTTGCTGCCCAGTTACGTAAGGTACAGTAGTATGAATATTTTTTGTTAACCGCCCGATTGGTTTAAAACTCCTTTTGAAGGATCTGTCAGAGAATTAATTTTAAACGTGCCACGGGCAAGACCTGTGAATACCCGCTTGTATTAGATTTTCACGAGT